ATCTGCTCCCATTTCTCTCCCCTTATCTCTCTGATGATTCCTATGGTATTCCCTTAAAAAAAAAAAAAATAAAACCCTCTCCTCTTCACAGTTACATGTCTGAAAACTAATTATAAAAATATTTGTTCTCATTAGAAAATAAAAGAAAATACATCTGCCTGACTAATTACAAGGGTTTTGATGACCTAACTCAAGATTTAAGTCCCTGTATGACATGCTAAATATCCTGTGAACAATTGCTTTTAATCGGCCTGATGTAACTTAGTAATGATAGTTGTACTGCAGTTTGATCTTTTATTTTTTTTAGGGTGAGCAACTAAATTTGAAAACTCAAATTGTTGTAACCTCAACATAAGGTACTAATAGTTCAATTATATTTTTCTCAGTAAAACCTGTCTTCATAATTTATAATGGATTTTTTTCTTTTCATTAGTGCAATAGTTTTAGAACTTCAGTAAACATTTCAAAATATTTATATCTCACTGAGTGTTTGTAATCTAGGAATATTTGGAAATTTAGAGCATATATAAATATAAAAGTGGACATTGAAGTCAACACCAATCAGTGACAGTCTGTTTCATTCTTAAACACAATCATCTGGTCATGTGTGTTGTGTTTTTGCTCGACCTTTTATGTATACTGGTCAATGATGCATTATGGGTAGGCTTATTGTATTTTTCTAATGGTCATTTGGGTGGGTGTTAATAGTTATGTTTCAAATTATTTTAGGGACTATTGAGTGGAAAGACTGGATCCAGATACAGTTTTGTGGTTATTTTATAGTGTTGTTTGTTAACTTTTTTATTATTGACTATTTTATTGTTGGTTGTTACTATTATGTGTACTTGTGTTTATGTGTGTGTTAATTTGTTTTTTAATTTACTTAATTTATTTACTTGTTCATTGGTTTGGATTAATTTATTTTTCTTATTTATTTTTATTTATTTATTTTATTGCCAATTTATACAATTAGATATTAAAAAAGAAATTATACCCTTCTATAACAGAAACCATGCTGGATAAGGCCATCTCCTTAGCTCAAGAAAAATAAAAATAAAAACAAACCAAATAAAAATCATCAAACACTACCGAAAATCATTATTATTCAATACCGAAGCATAACCTTGCATGACTAACAGTTTTTTGAACAAGGTTAGACACATAGACTCACAGTCACGATGACTTGTGACTTCATGCAAGCATAACTACTGATGAGTCCCAAATGTTTCTGTCTATCCAATTTCACTCACAAGGCTCAATTAACCCTGCTATCTGTGGTATGGTTTTCAAGTACTTTCCAATGGTTGTGCTACATGCTGCGATTAGCTCCCCTGACTGATAGCATCAAAAACCATCTTAACAAATCAAGCATGGTTAGACTCTTGGTTGGAAAGTGAATGTTCTAACCACTTTATCCATGAACATGTGTGTATATATTTTAATTTTAGCATTTATAGAAAAAAATGTGAAAAATTTCTTTTTAAATTGTTTGAAAGAATTTAAGAACAATAAATAAATTGGATATTTTTTAAATGTATAAGAATATATCAGCCTTTCTGGAAACGTTTAAATTTACTGCAATGAAAAAAATTTTTCCTCAAAAATTGTATGTTTCAAAAGATATCCAATATTTTTCTGTAAATTGTGCAAAACTTGTGATTGTGTGACTTAAAGATTGCTGCGTGTGGAAGAGTGTAAAGAATGAATAAGCTTAACTCCTCCTGTTGTTTTTGACAAATAGTTTGTATAGGAATGGATAATAAAGAAATAAATGTACAAGATAAAAGATATACAGTCTTCATATTAATTAGTCATAGTTCTAAATAGATTACTAAATTTGTATGCTTAGCATAATGGTTATAAGTGTGGAAAGCGGAATCAGCAAGCCAAGTTCAAATTTCAGCTTAGTCTGCTATGTTCACTTACATACAAATGCCCTTGGGAAAGGCATGAGTCCATTTCCCAGCTGCAGGCTAAATAGCAGGGTTAATTGGGCTCTTTAGCCTCGAGTGCAGCCAGTTGACTTTGGACTACTTTGAATTCAGAACTGTTAAGATGCTAACGAGAAACCACTCCACTATTTTTCCAAGTTGTCATGGCAATTCTCAGATAATGTACACTGCTTTAAGAAAGATGGTGGAAACAAGGTATTAGGGTAAATCATTCCATAACTTTTTATGAATGAAAGGAATTTGTGGAGAGCCATCATATTGATTTTTGGATTTAACTTGAATTTAATTTTAATTTGTCTTAGATTAATATAAATAAGTTATAATTCATATTTAGAGCTATTCATCATCATCAGTCCACTGAATGGATATGATCATAGGGTCACTACACAGCTGAGCACCTGAATAGTTCCCCTCCCCAACATCTGCGTTGAAAGCCTGAGAGGTATTCATTCATACATAGCATGTTTTGGGTAGGTAGACCTGGTGGACCCCATCTTTCTCCCAGTCAAAAACAACAGACAATTTCCTCTAAATTGAAGGCTCACTTTGGTCATGGACACATGGCCATTGATTCCATTGGGAGAATTCTCTTCTGGCTGTCAATTTCAGTCTAGGAAACCTTTTGCCCAACAATATCATGACCTCATTGCCCTGGCTGCATACATAGTTATGAAGCCCTGTCTACACCATTAGATGGTCATTGACCCCTACAAGAAGGTCTGTCCGTCCATCCTTTGACAGGACTTGTTTTTAATCCTACTGAATGTCTTGCTGCTGCAATCCTCATTGGTGGGGAACCAGTTTAATCACCAATGACCTGTGTGGCAATTTACATGGTACCAGTAGTAGTAGAAGTAGTAGTAGTACCCCAAAAAATGACCTGACATAACTAGAGCTATTTAAGATTTGTAATTTCAGGTTGGGATTGTTTGAAAATTGTTTTGAATTTTAAAATTATACTGCTTTGAATTTGACTGTTCTTATCTGCAGTTGGTCATCAAATGAGGTGAAAGAGGATAAAGATATGTAGGATTTCTTAAAGTTTAATTACCGATAATCATTATCAAAAGCAAATTTTGAATTAGTCACATTAGTATTGCAAATGGTATTTTTCATGTATTTTTATATTAGTAATTGGCAATACCACACTATCTATGATGCTTCCCAAAATTTATGAAAATTCATCCATAAAAAAATTAATTACCCTAATACCTTGTATCCACCATCTTCATCAAAACATTCTCCTGAAGGCAGTACTGGAAATAGAAAGTGGTGACAAAGTCCATACTTCATTTTAAAATTCCTCAAATCTTTAACACCACATAAATATGGATTTAGCCACTATTGTCTCTTGTCTGCCAAGTCAAAGGATTAAAAAGAAAAGTCTTTATTCATAATCAACAAACTACATGCATCACTGGCATAAAAAGAAGCAGATGATATTTGCTGTTAAATAAAGATAAAGAATTAATGTCAGTAGCTGGCCTTTTCTGACTTTAAACTCAATTTGTCCCTATTGAAATTTTAAAAAAAATTAAGTGTTTCTAAATATTAATTACCATTGCAAAAAAATATTGCATGCTTCATGGTTCACATAAATGTCAATACACAGAAAAAAATATGAGGGGCTGGGTAGCTATATTTTGAGTCAGTTCATAATGAAGAGTTAACCTTTTTATCCTGGTATCAAAGATAGAATAATGTGGAGAAAAGAAAAATGGCTGAATTGATTAGGGCTTGGTTTGACATTTTCTCTTTGGTCACTGAAAGATAAGTATACCTCACTCTCTCTCTCTCTCCATGGCCTAAAGCTATGGTCACACATTTTATTTTTATTTTTCTATCAGTTGGATTTGAACTTCATGTGATTTTTTTTTCTTTCCTGTTTCCACTGATGGCAAAAGACAATTTTTTTTTTTTTTTCATGAAATTCCACCAAAAATGTCTATTTGAGACATTTGTAATTTTTCTCTAGATTTTATATTTATTATTATCATTATTATTTAACCTTTCACCACTTATCTGTTTTTAGTGTACAAAGAATGTTTATTTTCCAAAAGTCATAATTAATTTGTCTGTTCTGCAACACATTCGCAATGGCTAGATGTCGTTTTTAATATTATTGATCTAAATGCACCAAATAATGGATAGAATTGGTTGATGACCTTCTTAAGCACATCTTTTTATTCTGACATGTATTTAATTTCCCAAAAATGTCTTTTTGACTTAACAAAATATTCTTGTTATTGGTGATGACTATATTAACAAAACTGAACACACTGGAAACCCTCTCCCACTGAATATAAAATAATAATGTTCATTGTTTTTATCTTTTTAATGTATTTCATTATTCTTAGTTGTCAGATGAAACATTTTTTTTAAAAAAATTTTAATCAACAAGAAAAGAGACTATTAGCTTAGAACTTGTAGTTACATTTAACTATTTCAACCATAAAATGATAAAACCTTACCTCCAATTTAGTATTGTACTTAAATTCATAAAGTCTAGGTACCATAGAGGAAAGTTCATCAGAAAAATTACCATGAAAGTATTTATAGAACAAGCAAAGAAAAGCTACATTATGGAGTGGGAAAGTGGTTGAAGCTGAGATACCAGGTCAGGACTAGTGACATTGCAGATTCTTTGGATTTTATCAAGGATCTCTATGTAGCAGGAGCCCCAGACCATATGTCGCAGCAATAATCTTAGCATGGACAAATGGTAGACTTATAAATATGCAAGATAGATTTGGTTGAGAAAAATTGTATAGCATGATATAGAGAACCAACTTTCCTATCAGCAGACCTAGCAATTGTTTCAATATAATCTTTCTACTTCATGTCAGCAGAAAACATTAGCCTGAGAAAGCATTACAAGTCACTTGCCTGACAGCATGGTAAAATCTGGATGCTACTGATTGATTTTTCTGACATATTTAGATAATAAATGTTTCAGGATGGCTTATTTCAGCATGCTTTACTTGTTAAAATCTGAAATGCATTTAACATGCGACATTTCAAATTTCCTTGAAGTAGATTAATATAGGCTTACAGCCATATCATGTTGAAACATCAGTTCTTGTATGATCACCAAAGTTAACCAACGTCAAGCCTGGTCAGTATCTAGATGGGTGACCACTTGGGAATACCAAGTGTTGTAAGCTTGGATGTATATATGGTGTAACGGATAATGGTTTAAAAATTCCAATTCCAGTTGTGTCCATTATATTCACTTATATTGCAAATACCCTTGGGAAAGGTATGAAACTATCTCATCCCCTTAGCTATGGGTTAATTAGTAGAACATGTATCAGTAAATCATTATTATCTCCAAAAATTTATTACAATATAAAAAAATATTTTCCAGCTTTAAACAACCTGCAAAAGGTTGGTAAGCCTTAAAAAACAAATAAAACTAAAAAATAAAAAAAGATTAATATGTATTGATAGAAAGTATAGATAACGGAAATTTTGTTTGTAACAACCCTATATCAAGTAATCTAATATTTAAAAATGAATATGTGCACATAAATTCAAGTTACAGCTGTAATCACTATTACTTAATGTTTTAAATAAGGATATATTTTAACTATCATTTAAACTACTAAAGTGGAAATGAAGTATGAAATGGTATCTAGTTGTGAAGTAGTGTGTAATGTCAACATCTTGTTTTTTTTTCTTTTCTTCAAGCTGCATGTCCTTTCCATATTAGTTGTTGCTGTTGTTGAAGTCAAGTGATGTAGTTTCTGTTATTTGGTACAGTTCTTTGTGATTCTGTAGTGCCAGTTCATGAGGTTGAAATATTGAATTAGATGGTCCTTGCTTCTACAGGCTTTATTCACTTGAAGCCATTTTTAATTATTGATCTGCGAATGTGGTTGTACATAGATGTAGAATGTTCATATATTACCAATTGATAATGGCCTGATAATATATTTTAACTCTATACATTAGAAAATGAATAAGAATAATTTATCAATAAACTTAGGTCAGCAATGTGAAATCAGTTCTCTCTCCTGTTTTATTCTGTTTGAAACATATCTTTTTGGTCTATGATAGTTATCGTTTTAAAATAGTAAAGGAAGGGTGGTGTTCTGATAAATATTTCTATGCCTATAAATATTGAATAGCATAAAAAGTTGGTTTGGTTGATGTTGTAGAGTAAGACTCAGCATGCTTTCTGCTCTTCCCTACTACTGTGACAGTGTGACAATGGACTGCTCCTACCTATAAATATGGCAAGTAGCCACATTAGCATAGGATTTGAGTAGTATTTGATTTACTCAAGTATTTCCATTCTATGTATGGGTATTTAATAAACTTCTTCTTTGTTTCCTCTACCTAGTCTTCTGTTCCTTCAATACACTCTAACTACAGCCTTCCTAATTTTCGGTTATTTTGAACAAAGACAACATTACAACAGTTGAGAAGTTTTTGCATTATTTTGGTGAGTAACTTTGTTCAACAATATAATTATTTACTCGCTGCCCCACGCAGCAAGATGTAGCACAAGGGTGAGTTTAAATTGGGGGTATCCGAACCCATAGGCTCGGGCAAAATTCCCTATAGACCATGTAAAAATGGAGTCAGTTTCCCAAGATGAGACTCTGCCCTTTGGCAGAGCCTCATCTGGAGGATACCCTCTGACATAAGCCAGCATTTAGTTCCACTATCTTCTATCTTTCAAGCACCTTTTATAATTCCAGCTTCCCAGAAATTTGTATCCTTCTGAGGATAAGTTTTTATGCTTTGGCAGTTTCTCAGATAATTGAAATTGTTCAGGTAATGAATTCTTTAAAGACTGGAATAAATGGTAACTAAAAAGTGCAATATTCTCATGAATATGACTGATGAGTCATAACAATTTTTTCCTGGTTACTAAAGAAACTTGCAGTCTAGTGGTGTCCTGATGGAATATTATACTTTCTCCCTCTCTCTTTTACTAATTTTGCATAGATGTTTTTCATTGATTGCTGCCTTTAGTTTGTCTAATTGGGATAATGTTTTCTTTCATGTGCAGTGTCCCTTCAGGAAGTGGGTGATTATGACACTCCACAACTTCCTGTCCATTGTACTTCTAAGTAAAACTTGACTCTTTACTATTACTGTCATCTATTCACATACACTCATTGGGTATATCATTCACTGTTTTCCTCTGTTTCTCCTTCCTTCAATATGTCCTGTGAGTGTTAAATTTTCCAAACCTTCTTTCCTCATGATGTGTCATTGTCATTCATATTTTCTTTAAAACTGTTTTGTTGCTTACATGTTCAGTGTTCTCATCATTTGTCTGTAGAAATACATCTCTATCACTTCGAGTCTCTTCTTACTGTGGAGAAAATTGTCCAGAATTCACTACTGTATAAGTAGACAGATATATCATAGCTGATCAGCACTCTTTTATTTTTAATGAAATTTTCCTGTTTCTAAATACTTTGCTTAGTTTTTGGAAGGCTTTCTTCACTATTCTGATGCATCTTTGGGTTTCTGCATTGCATTTTTCATCATCAGTTACTACACTACCCATATGGTTAAATATTTTTATTGACTTGTCTGTTTATATACTTCTGGTTACAAAAAAGTTCCTGTTATTCTTGCTACATGTCACTAGTCATAATATTTGGGGCTTATGCCCTCCTCCCTTTTATATTTTCTTATGAAATTTGACAAAAATCCAATAGACAAAAATAGCTTGTTATTATAGGCAAACAAATAGATCAATAATTGATGATGATATTGTAGTAGAACCAAAGCTGATTTATTAGGTTTTATTCAATAAAGAACATAGTAATACACATAATGGCAATATTTCAGTAATAGATAAATTCATCCATCATCACATGAGAAAGTGTCAAATTATATATAAAGACTTTTCAGCTATTATTCTATTAATCTACTTTGAATAACTAGAAGTGTTACAACAATATGGAAATGTGTATAAGCAATAATAAAAATACTATACTCTCTTATTCTGAATTAAATTACCAGCCTGGAATAAATAAATAAAAAAAAAAAAAAAAATACAACTTAATATCTATAAACGAATTATCCAAGTACAGCAATAGATCAGTAAAATCATAAGTTCCGGTAGGTAGCTTGTACACATGCTGAGCCTGTTTATCAACATACTGAGTATCTCTCAAATAAAGAATCATTTACTCAAACAGATGATCAGTTGAGCTTCCTTATGTACAGGGCTTTAGTTGGAATCTTCATCAATGCTGATATTATTACTAGCTTAAAAGCCACCATATTGGGCAGCATTTAAGCTAGCTCCTGTGGAGAGTTCTTGATTGGGCCTTTGGCTTGTCCAGGAGTTTGAGAGTTTCTAAGTGTTTGCACATTCTCAGCATTGGAAGCTCTTCTGGTTGCCGTTTGATCTGGGTTTTCATTTGTGTGGGACTTTTTCCTTGCTGTAGCCTTGGCTCTTTGATTGCAATCTGGTCCTCTGTCAGCAGAGATTTCTTTTTGCAAGGCATACTGCTTCCATATGCAATAGGCAACGATAAACTACAGAAGAATTCAAAATTGATCACTGCATTTAAGTATTGCATTAATATTTAAGTTTACCTTTTTAATGTTCATAATTCTTCTGCTGTCACTTAATTTAAAGACAATTTGATGTACGTAGGTCCTTACTCTCTATACAAACAATTATTTTTGTTTCATGGGTGACTTTTGCTAGATTTCACAATTAATTTAAATTATTCTCAAATTTATTTCTGAGTTACAAAAATTGTTATCATACAAAGAAAATTTGTCACAAAAAATTATGTAAAAAAAAAACAAACAAAAAACAAAACAATTGCAGTAATGAAAACTTGGGAATCCAAAATTTCAGGATTGGGGGTCCAGATCAAATCTGGAATGTTTTGATTTGTTCACGGAGTCTGCCTGATTCCAAAATGGTATGATGTGTTGGGCTACGGTCTCTAGGTGTAAAGTTGAAAAAGTGTAACACATTCTATTGAAAGTTAGAAAGTTGTGTCCCTTTAATTGTTTTTATCACTAGAAGCCACAATGGCAGAATCTGAAAACAATAACAGTAATCAAAACTTGGGAATCCAAAATTTCAGGATTGGGGGTTTGGATCTGTACTGGAATTTTTTTAATTTGCTCATGGAGTTGGCCTGATTCCAAAATGGTGTTATATATTGGGCTATGGCCTCTAGGAGTAATGTTGAAAAAGTGTGACACACTGACATTTACATTTATTATATAGATGATGCATTCAAGTTGTTGGTAATGTTGGGTTCCATGTTACCATTGGCAACATTTCTTCTGACCCCAATGCCACATCATTTCAACAAAGGACGACTTCTTTTTCATATTCACTTTATTATATGAGACAAACATTGTAACATCGATTCTAAGAGGTAGTGGGAGAAAGATGGTTAGAGGAAAGCATATCACTTGGCTTAGCATTTCACCACCTGTGGTCTAGCCTCTCTAAGGAATTTGGATGTGGGAAGTATGCTGACTCTCCAAAATTCTTGCAGCTCTCTTTGTGTCATTTTGGTCTAATAGCCAAAACTTAAAAGTAATCCATTACTGTCAAAATTCCATGCCCACAGGGTCATCTGACCAGTAATTTGCTATCCTGTCCCAGACTCTGCATTCTGTAATGAGAGAACTAGTTCCTAAATTTCAGTATTTTGTAAATAATCTGGAGCTAAATGTTGAAGTGACACTTTGTCTCCTTGCCATTATAAGGATCAGTATAGGCATAAAGAGAATTTGCCTCAAGGGGTTTTGCTTCTTCAACAATTGGGCTATACTTTATCTGATATAATACTTCAAAAGGACAGCTGCATTGTGATAGTATATTCATTAATTCAATGGAATTGGAAATTAAATAATTGTTTATGTTGAATAGTGTTAACAGTAGATAGAATTCATACTGAATGCAATGCATCTGTTAGGACAGTCTCCCAGGTAAGCATTGTGATTTGAGTGTGAGGGTTACTGCCTGCTATATAATTCCATTATATTTTTCACTGACTTGAAGATTACAAAAAGGTGTTTTGTCTTGTAAAAATTCCATAGCTATGCAAAAAATTCCCCATATCTGATGACATGTATGAATTACCTCTGTTCAAACTATATGAATGATGGCAAATAACTAGCTGGGATACTGTTTGAGATGTCATATCTGAACAGGC